CGGATATTGAAACGCGCCTAAACAAACTCGCGGGATCATGTGTGTTTATTGCAGTGGATTTATATAGTGGATACTATCAGATTCCGTTGGAAAAGCAATGTCAAAACTTCACTGCTTTTTCTACGACGGAGGGACACTATCGGTTCCTTCGAATGCCATTTGGATTGGCTAATGGGTGCGCTGTATTCCAGAGAGCAGTGAATAAACTGGTTGAGAAGGCACGAAAACGTGGTGTAGTGATCGTAGCATACATCGACGATCTTGTAGTGGCGGGAAGAGTGGAAGAAGAAGTGCTCTCTAAATTCATTACCCTGTTAGATGTTGTGTGCAAAGAAGGGTTTACCATAAACTTGAAGAAGAGCTATTTCTACATGCGAAAATTGACATTCCTTGGGTTTGAAGTTACCGGCGAAGGAATTAAACCTAGAGTAGTGAAAACGGTGGCTGTTAAACAATTTGCTCGGCCAAGAACTGTGCACGAAGTTCGACAGTTTCTGGGACTCGCAGGATTTTTTCGTCGTTTCGTGAAAAACTTCAGTTTGATAGCATCACCGTTGTATAATCTTCTGAAGAAAGACGTTGAGTTCAAGTGGGGAGGTGAGCAACAGGAAGCATTCGAGAACCTCAAGGAAATCCTGACTATACGCCCAATACTAGCTTTGTATGATCCAACAGCAGACCTGGAGCTTCATACGGATGCATCGAGCATCGAATTGGCTGGAGTTTTGCTCGTCAAGCAAGATGGAGGTTGGAAGCCATTAGGGTACTTTAGTAGAAAAACGAGTCCAAGTGAATCGAAGTACCATAGTTACGATTTGGAAATCTTGGCGGTTGTGGTTAGCGTGGAGCGATTCCGTTTATATTTGCTTGGTCGTTTCTTTATCATTCGCACTGATTGCTCAGCTGTTCGAGATGCTTACTCAAAACGGGAGATGGATAGCTGGGTTGCCAGGTACTTTTTGAAGCTGCAAGAATATGATTTTCGGTTGGAGCATAGAAGTGGATGTCAAATGAAGCATGCGGATGCTTTGAGCAGAAATCCAGTGGAGGAGTCAAGGGATGAACAAACCGTAGTGGAAAATATGCTGTCGATCGAAATCAGCAACAATGACTTTCTGGTTTCTCTCCAAAGACAGGACCCGAAGTTGGTAGAAGTTATAGAGAAGCTCGGTAGGGATCCACTGTGTGATGAGGATCGTCAGGTGAATCAGTGTTACGTCGTAGAGAACAATAGACTTTATCGTCTGATCGAAGGGGCAAACGATGGGTGGTTCCGGTTAGGATTCGCTGGAGAGTAGTGAACAATTTCCATGATGATCGTGGCCATTTTGGCGAAGAAAAGGTGTTCCAAATGATTAGGGATCAGTTTTGGTTTCCTAAGATGAGGAAGTATATTGGAGGATACATAAAAGCATACCCTAAGTGTGCTTTCGTGAAGAGCAAAGTTGGGCGCGAGGAAGGTTATCTGCATCCGATCCCGAAGACGCCGATTCCGTTCAACACCATCCACTTGGATCATCTGGGGCCTTTCATTCGTTCTAGCAAGGGCAACGAACATTTGCTGGTACTGATCTGCGCATTTTCAAAGTTTGTGGTGATAAAGGCTGTCAAATCAACACAATCTGGTCCTGTGCTGAGCATGATAGATGAAGTCGCAGGGATTTTTGGATTTCCTGGAAGAGTAATCACGGATCGTGGAACAGCTTTCACATCGAATGCCTTTGGGAAATACTGTCGCGAAAACGGAGTGGAGCATGTGAAAGTGGCAGTAGGCACACCTCGAGGAAATGGTCAAGTCGGGCGAAGCAACAAAACCATTTTGAATGCCCTAAGGAGCACTATCGATGTGGATGATCGCAAGTGGGACAACGTGGTCAGGCAGATTCAGTGGGCGATTAATAATGCACCAAACTCGACAACTGGAGTCACACCAACGTCTTTGGTCTTATCGTTCAAGCCAAGAGACTATGTGTATAATGAATTGATTGTCGCTTTACATGACGGATCTGACGGTGCTGTATGCGATGCGGATGATTATCGAGCCACAGCAGAAAAATCAACGAGTCAAAGGCAACTTGTACAGAAGAAATATTTTGATCGACGAAGGAAGGCAGCTGAGCGATACGAAGTCAATGATCTGGTTCTGGTGAAGAAGGATCAGTTTGTACCTGGTGGGAGCAGAAAATTGGAGCCTCGATATAAACGACCTTTTGTGGAAACTGGAGTTCTCGATAACGATCGGTACCAGATTGAGGACATTCCCGGAAGCGACAGACATGGAAGGCGTTTTCGTACAGTTTACTCAGCCGACCGAATGAAGCGTTGGTGTTCCATAGGTGAATTGGATGAAATTGGAGGAGACGACGAAGATGATGAACTATAATGAGATGTCTCGGAGCTGAACGGTGAATTTGAAGACAAGTGAAATTAATTTGATAATAATTACTAAAATTACTAAATCAGCGGAAGATGAGGACATCTGGTTAATTTGGGTGTCCAAGCTGTGGCAATTGACCACAGGGCAGCTACATTTTATAGCAGCTATAACGGCTGCCTTTCCTACCGGGTTTGTAACCCTTTCCACTGTGGGTGTATTGGTATGGTGTTCTTTTGAGTGGATTAAATAAATTAGTCTGAAATTAGCTTACAGTAGATGTACACGCGTTTTTATTGTCCGTGACCCGAAATTGACCCAGCTCAGAAATACGAGGTAAAACTCAACTCTTACACATGTAACGAAATTATGAAAGATTTTGAACGTTAATAACTCAGCTGCTCCTGGACCAATTTCAATAATTTTATCACCAATCGATTAGAAATATTTTTACGCATCGATAGCAATGCTGTTGATTTTCAACAAGAAATTGTTAAAAAGTGTCGAAATAACTAACAAATCCACTAATTACGTACATGCAGATGCACATTTCTAAACATTGTTAATGTTAAAATAAAAATAGTTTTGTGATCTCAAACCCATATGTTTTCAAGATTTTGTAACTAATAAAAAAGAATATCACTGACACAGATTGTAAGCATAAATTCTTCGAATACAAATGTTAATAAAAGTCAACGAATTTAGATCAAATATAAGACTAGGATAAAAATGCAATATCCTCCCTGGGCAGTCATTTCAGTAACATTCTAGCACATTAATATTAAAAACGAATAAGAATTTTCATAATAATAGTATGTTTGACCTAATAAAAAGTTAAAAAAAAACTCTACAAAATAAAAAAATGTGGACGAAATTTTGTTCAAAATAAATTTAATGGGTTTAAAAAAAATTCGATTTCATAGACTTAGACAAGTCTTTAATCTCCTGGTCTTCAAAATTTGTAATTCAAGATCTTAGGAAACTTACCTAGATTCTTAGACTCACAGCATTTCTCGAGAGAAAAATTGTTCGAGATAAGAAAGTAAGAAAACAGGAATCAAAAATTTCGAAAATCTTGACATGTGGCAAAAAGTGTGAATAATCAGGTTATAATTTAATTTTATCGGGTTTTTAAGATACCGGATTTTTCTGACAAAATCAAGATTTAACTATATTTCTAATCAAAAAAAGAATGAACTCGAAACTTGCATGATTGTGTTCCTGTTTATAACTAGATAGTATTTTAACTTATTTTTACAAAATTTGGGAAGTTTTTAATATTTTAAATTTAGTTAGTTGTGGTTAAACCACACACCAATCTTGGTTCATCTTTTTTGTCTGTGTGCATCAAGTGTGCAGCAGGTGTGCCGATTGTGCCGGTCATAGAGCAAGCTACGATTGTTTGTAAAATACCCATTCCGGCAACCCGGTATTTCTGACACCTTGAATGTTTTGGTTTGAAATTGCAAAGATAAATCGGATTGAGGATTACGCGGGAAGTGGTGGGTGTGCGAAATTTCTGTGATTTGTGTTCCATAGGGTAATAAAAGTCCTGTTTTTGGGTGCTTTATAATGCCCTCAAAGGTAGACCAGAAACCTAAATTTTCGTGATGTGAAAGCATCGGTCTGTCAGCGGCCAGAAAGAGTTGGAACCGGTGGGGAGCGTTGTTGAAGACCGACTATAGAGGATGATGAATAGACTTCTTTAGTTTATTTTGTGTGAGTTTTAGCATTATTTGAATTAAGGGTACTTATGCGGTAACTGCCTCTTTTTCTTGAGCCAACTCTCTGAAGGTCTATGAATTTTCCAAAATTTCTACCAAGTTTACTTAATTTCTACAATCTTCCCTGAACTTCTATTTGAAGTTTAACGAAGTTTCCACAAGATTAAGAAAAAATCCTGGGCTCATTACCAATTTTCCGAGCCTGAAGGCGTCTTATTGCCATCGAATTAATATAATATTATTTCTCAAAATTGTTTCTTCTAGTCCATAACATAACAAAAGTAATCAACATAAAGGACTTTAAAAAATCTTTGTTGATGGTCCAATTTTAATAATCACTGTTAAATAGTAGCATTGAACTTAACAAGCTTTACCAAATACCGGTGAATAAAAAAAAAAACACCAAAAATTCTGGAGGGGGCCTAGATAATTCTGGAGGGGCTGACCCCCCTGGCACCCCCATTAGTTACGCCAATGATCATGGTAGAACGACGCACACACTTGCCTCGATTATCTCCAGCAGAAATAGCAAACGAAGTCGAGTATGCGAGGAAATGAGCGCTTCTGTTTGCTTTTAGCCTATCCAAATCCCGAAACATAGAGAAAGTATGTAGTGGAGAAAACACAAGTCTGATAATCGCAATCCCACATAATTGTGAACAAATCTTACATCTCCCGGTTGGATGTACAAAAGTTTGAGCCTCGCACGCGTATTACGGATAAAGAGGATCAAATTTAACATTTGATCTAGTGTACAAATATTAAAAAAAAAACATATTAATCAAAGATATATAAAACTGAAATCACCAGCACAGTCTTATCCTGCTGACCACGTATAAATTATCATATTCCATGCATGATTTTGCAATAAAATAAATGGCAGTTAATTTCCAATTACTCACCTGTTTAACGTTCGTAGCGACAAATACAATGTACACACAACATATTCCTAGCTGATAGACTATCATAAAACCGTCAACGATCACGCTGAAAGAGAAAGAAAGAACTATTTTACTTAAAATCCACTAGCATCATTCCATGCACGACTCACATCGCGTAAGGGGAAAACCGCCTCAAACACGCCGGTCCTTCCTGCAGTGCCATCTTCATCGAAACCGGATAGGTCAGGATAGGAACCCGGTGCCGTTTGCAGAGGATGTACTGCGCTTGAACCAGGACATGCAAACAGTATGTACACAAAGCACCAATCAGAATGGTATTGATGAATCCGGACACGTAGCCGGCATTGTAGAAGGCTTGTGGCATCGCGAGGATTCCCGTCCCCAACGATCCCTTCAGAAGATGTACCAAGGTTTCAAAATTCCTGCGAACGACAAATTTGTTGTTATTCGATAACCGGACTGTCACGTACAAGTGCTAGTTACGTCGTTGGATGCGGTCGGTTCCGGTGAAGATGTGGATCATAATTATCATCCACTATCATGTCACCGTTCCTGGTCGGCGAGGATGGCTTGCTAAGCAGTTGCATGTCCACGTTGACTTCCTTCCTAGGGCTACCCATCGTCACGAATTTTACTGCACGTTCTTAGTAAATCTTAAGCTATCTGAAAGCAAAGGAGAAGGACAGAATATCGAAATGAATATGAGTGACAATGCAATACCAATTAAGCTCAATCAAGAGTTGCAATCAAACCGTAAACGGACATACTTCGGCTTCGATGCGCTAAACAATTACGTGCTCGATTAATTGTCTCGGCGGCAATCGTGAAACCTAGTTACTCCAATCAATTGAGCGATCACGTGCAAAATCCCAGCCAAAACCAGATACGATCGATCGAGTAAACCAGATCGAATCAATTAGTTGCCATGATCTTGATTGGATTCTAATTTAGAAACCCCAACAAAGTATTTCAACCACCCTTCGAGTGATATTTCCCTGGCAACCTTTGGTAATCGTTATTATTTTTAGTCCTCAACACACCCTCAAATGTCTCCAAAAGTACCGGCAAGCGGGCTCCGATGCTGTTGTAAGCAATTTATTTTAATCAGATTCAATTGAGAAGAACCACTTGCGAACGGCAGTGAACTGCACACAGGAGGTTGCCAAACAGCTTCATTTCAGTTCATTCTGCTAGGCGCGTAATAGACGTTGCTTTTTGCGTAACAGCATGCATCCTTAACGATGTGAAATGGGACGCGCAGTCAAAGGCAAGCGGAATGTGTCCTACCGGATTTCGAACACCGATCAGGTTTTTTTTTTCTTTGGTGGGTGTTGAGGAAAATAAAACACAAACGAACGACACTTTGGTTGACACAGTTAGTGGGGTAAACTTAGTTGACAAGTGAAGGGCAGTTTGTACGGATTAGAAAGTAGGTAGTTGAACCGTTGAAATTTGGGGAATGCATTTGCGCTTAGGGTGTGATTAAGGGATTTTGAAACTATGAACATCAAGAAAATATTCACTTCACAAACGGAATTTGCTTTCAAGCTTCCACTGATGGGATTTGAGGGGTAAGATCAGATTAAATAGTTGTGGTTATATTAATGCAGCTAACATTCTGAATAGCAGCGCCGGTGGTGCAGTGGTAAGCGTGGATACCTCTCACCCCAGCAGGCCTGGGTTCAATCCCAGTCGGCGCCACCAGGATGTTCTGAAGGAACCGAAGTAAAGCCGTTGGTCCCCGGTTCATGATTTGATGGGTCGATAGGTGGTAGGGTCCAGGTGTGGGAGCTGCCTTCGTGGCGTCGGTAACATTGGTGCTCAGCACGGAAAACAAATTAAGGAAAAAAGAAAAAAACATTCTGAATTGAGTAACCCGGAGCAAGCTTGCAAATGCTCATTACAGCTAAAATGCTATTTTTCGGATTTGCTATGATATATTTTAATGGTATTTTTTATTTACAGAATGCAAGAACAGAAGGTAAAGTGTGTGTGTGACACAATTTAGCTTTCAGAGGGTCACGATTTGCTGTAACGATGAGCAACGCGATGAGCGAGCAATCAGCGATCATAAAATCGCTAGTTGTGACCTTCTGAAAGCAAAATTGACAAATTTTATATGTCATATACAAATTTTACCACCTCTTCTAGCATCTTACAAATAAAAACTATCATTATAGTATCCCATTGTTTCATAATAATGAAAAATAGCAGTTTAGCTGTAATGAGAAATTACAAGCCTAACCCGAAGTTGTATCGGGCTAATTTTTACTCATACAAACAAACAATTCAGAGTGACAAATAAGCATTTGTATCGAATAAATCAAGTGTAACTATTCAAATCGACGTATCACTTCAATCGAAGATTTTCTTAACTGCTAACTCACTCACGCAAACAAACACCATCATCAGGTAGGAGAATCTTTCTCCTACTAGCTGGTGTGGATAGTTTCTGTGAGTGAGCTAGCAATTGCCACAAATCGTCGATCGAAATGACTGTTTACAAAATCAGATACGTCGATTTGAATAGTTATGCTGCACAACAGGGTGTCAAATTATATGCCACTCCTTGTTGTGATCTGATAAATTTAGGGGAAATGGCTCTTATGTTGGCCTATGGATCTTAGATTGGGCCCATTGCTAAAAATCTGCTATTTATCAATTTTCGCATGAAAAATTGATATTTTGAGTTGCTATTGAAAATTTAATCGATTGCTGAATTTATGTATGGGCTCAAATTAGGGGCATTTAGGTCAACATTACATCTTTTTCCCCTACTTATTAAAATTGTATAAATGTTGGATGCCTTCATGATTTGATACATGAAGTTTGATCTAATGATAATCTGAATAACTGAACAGAAAACGATGCATGGATTCATTATTCCACGACACTAATTCAGCCTTACAACACGACGATATTGGTAGTTTAGTGATTACCGCTTATGATGACTTGATAGAAGGACGAGAGGCGGAACCCTTTATAATTTGGGTGCTTAATAAATTTGAATTTACTACGCCTAATGAATTTAAATCGTAATCACCGATTACATCACTCACGACAATGAATTCATCAATCTTTAGTTTTAACCGGGTTATCTTTGGACATTGTGGAGGTGAAGATGTAACATTGATCTCTAGTGAACCAACGATTGCTAAATTAATCATTCCCAAAAAACCGTGTTAGAGGTAAAGAAGCAATCGGTAGTGCTGATAGCAATTCAGTCGCAGCAAATACATCATATTAACAATATGATTCATTCAAACCTTTTCCAATGGTGATCGGAAAAATATTGCTTAACTTAACGCACCATATAGCGTTGAAGAAGGTCAGCAACATTCATTCAAGGGGTGCGAATATAGCAATTATTACAAAAATGAAAGTCAAATTGTTTAATTAATCACATTTTATGTATTTCATGAAAATTTGTCTGAAGTTTCATTGTTGTCATCAAATAAAATAATATGCTCAAGTACATGCATTTAAAATATTAAACAAATTTTCATTCGATTTACCTCTTGTGAATATAAACAAATATACATTGGTAGCCTTTTTTGACACAGAAGCGCTTTCATCGCTAAAAATTTGGTTCGCCAGCTAAGCGAAAGAGTGGATCATTTTGTTTTTTTTTGTTTTTTTAATTATTTTTTTTTTTATTTTTTTTTTAAATCTTTATTTGTTCTAAATTCAAAATAAATTACATTTAATTTTAACCTAGGTGCTCCAGTTACTACAGTAACTTACCAGCCTTAATTGTTATGATATATATCTAAGTGTTTTAACATTGTTCCTGTCTTGGCAATTCAGTATTTTAAACAGGTTTTTTTAAACCTGCATGTCAGTATAACAATTGGGTTCTTTAATTTTGAAAAATATATAGGTTTTTATATATCCTCTGAAAGAGCTTCGTTTTCTGAGCACAGCGATATTTTTTCACCCCAAGCAAAATAATAACTTCACTGTTTGACACTAAACTGACAAACTGATAGCTCGCTCCCATACAAAGTGACACCGAGGGGCGCTAATTAGGTGATTTTTGCAAATGTAATCGTACTTATTTAAAATAGTTCCAGTGTGCCAAAATTGATGAAATTTTGGGTTTGGGTTCCATTTTTAATGCAGATTACGAATATTCATTTACCTCAATACCCTTAAAGAACCCAATTGATATCTTAAAACTGAAAACTAAAACTAAATCTTATCTAAGTAAAAAGGGAATTAATCGTTGCAATTGAGGATTGCAACGATTTTTGCCTGAAATTATTAATTATTTTGTTGGACATTTGTTCTAAAGTCTCAACATTCGAAATTCTATGTAATTCGGTAGTACTGTACCAGGGAGGCAACTTCAAAATCATCTTAAGAACTTTGTTCTGAATCCTTTGAAGTGCTTTTTTCCTGGTAGTGCAACAATTAGACCATATTGGAACAGCGTAAAGCATGGCCGGTCTAAAAACTTGTTTAAATATTATAAGTTTATTCGTCAGGCAAAGTTTGGATTTCCTGTTTATAAGAGGATACAAACATTTTATATATTTGTTACATTTGGCTTGAATGCCCTCAATGTGATCTTTAAAAGTTAATTTTTGGTCAAGTATTAATCCAAGATATTTCACTTGGTTTGACCAGGAAATTGGAACTCCGTTCATAGTGACTATGTGACTACTACTAGGTTTCAAAAACGAAGCTCTAGGCTTATGTGGAAATATTATAAGTTGAGTTTTGGAAGCGTTGGGAGAAATCTTCCATTTTTGTAAATAAGAAGAGAAAATATCTAAACTTTTCTGCAGTCTGCTGCAAATAACACGAAGACTTTTTCCTTTAGCGGAAATGCCTGTGTCATCAGCGAACAAAGATTTGTGGCAACCCTGAGGCAAATCAGGGAGGTCCGAAGTGAAAATGTTATACAATATAGGCCCAAGAATGCTACCCTGAGGAACTCCTGCCCTAACAGGTAGTCGATTAGATTTGGAATTTTGATAATTTACTTGAAGAGTTCTGTCAGTTAAATAATTTTGAACTAATTTCATAATATAAAGTGGAAAATTAAACTTTTTAAATTTAGCAATCAAACCTTCATGCCAAACACTGTCGAATGCTTTTTCTATGTCTAGAAGAGCAACTCCAGTTGAGTGGCCTTCAGATTTGTTTGAACGAATTAAATTGTTAACTCTTAAGAGTTGATGAGTAGTTGAATGCCCATGGCGAAATCCAAACTGCTCATATGCAAAAATTGAGTTCGTATTGATGTGAAGCAGGGTGCCTTCCATTCATTTTGGCGAAAAACATGTTTTATGAAATTACGGAATAATAAGATATTATGATAATATTTTGTATGTGTAAGTAACAAGAAAAGATTGTAAAGTTTATGTTTGACACACAAAACATGCAAATTTAGCTTCAAAAGTGTCACAATGAGCGATTTTCTGATCGCCTCTTCGCGAAGAGTGAAGAGCGAAGAGTGGGTGAGATAAATGACAAAATCGCTTTTTGCGACGCTAATGTAGCAAAATTGGCAGGTATTATGCGTCAGACGCAAACTTCACAATATTTTCTTGTTGCTTACACAAACAAAATATTATCATATAATCTTATTATTCTATAATTTCATAAAACATTTTCTTAGTCAAAATGAATGGAAGGCACCCTGATGTGAAGCATCA